CAACTACTCAAACAATCCTTTTGCATCACCTTTAATTAATGCCCATTTTGGGGGCAACATATCTCATCTGCTGTGTCTTCTAAGAAGAGCCTATTCTGTTGTAGGTATTTCTGCCAAACACATTTTGGAATGGTTTGAATTACACTGAACAATGCACCTACCAATTTTCTTTCTCCTTCAACCTGTTTTTAATAAAGTCAACATGGCTTGTTCATCCGTTGTAAGACCAGCAAAAATACATAAATAAGACACACACTCTTTCTCTCTCTAACATAGGGAACGTCTGCAAAATCCATTTAAAATCATGACCCAGTACAAACGAGAGAAAGAGAGATTGAACTGGGTCATGATTTTAAATGGATTTTGCAGACTTTCTCTATGTAGCCTCCCCCTTCCCAGCAAAGGGCTGTCATCCGAAACACAATTATGGGGTGTATGGGAAATGGGTTCTGTAAGGGATGTTGGTGCCTCTTGACTGCAACAGTGTGGAAGTTGCTTCCCTGTGGTATCTTCTCACACGTGAAAGGGCCATAGCTTAGTGGTATGGCGTCTGAAGGTCCCAGGTTCAATCCTTGACCTCAAGATAGGACTTGGGGAAGACCCTACCTAAAATCTTGGAGAGTCAATGCCAGTCAGTGCAGACAGTTATGTGCTAGATGGACTAATGGCCTGACTCTGTATAGAAGGCAATTTTCTACGTTCCTATGTCAATGAGGCCATCAGTGAGGTGTCTTCCCATGTGAACATTGCCTGGCTTGAAGGAATGCCAACATTGACATAGCAAGGCAGCTCATTCATAGCCCTGTCATTGTAGTTCTTGCATCCAAATGATACTAAAGTACTGTGGGGAGAGAAAGCATGAAGACACAGATCCCATGTTGCCATAGGAACATAGGAACAGGTCCTGTAATTTCATATCTGAAGTCATTCAAGGTGATCTCTGGGCAGCAGAAACAAAGGGCCTATAGAGTAGTTTCTTGTAACTCAGAGCAGAACAGACACATATGACCCATCCAAATAGCATGAGTGGAATTTGACAAATGAATCTTGTCAGAGGGAGCCCTCTGCAAGGACTTCTGTTTGCGCGATGGGGCTTTCCCTTCCTCTCTTCCCAATGTGCACCTTTTTGTTGTTGTTGTTTAGACGTTTAGTCATGTCCGACTGTTCGTGACCCCATGGACCAGAGCACGCCAGGCACTCCTGTCTTCCACTGCCTCCCGCAGCTTGGTCAAACTCATGCTGGTAGCTTCGAGAACACTGTCCAACCATCTCGTCCTCTGTCGCCCCCTTCTCCTGGTGCCCTTCATCTTTCCCAACATCAGGGTCTTTTCCAGGGAGTCTTCTCTTCTCATGAGGTGGCCAAAGTATTGGAGCCTCAGCTTCAGGATCTGTCATTCCAGTGAGCACTCAGGGCTGATTTCCTTAAGCATGGATAGGTTTGATCTTCTTGCAGTCCATGGGACTCTCAAGAGTCTCCTCCAGCACCATAATTCAAAAGCATCAATTCCTTGACGATCAGCCTTCTTTATGGTCCAGCTCTCACTTCCATACATCACTACTGGGAAAACCATAGCTTTAACTATACAGACCTTTGTCGGCAAGGTGATGTCTCTACGTGCACCTTTGCCCCCCCTCCAAATTGGCTCTGAGTGGTCAGGAGAGCCCCCAGAGCAGCTCATGGGGGCAGGAGAGGGGAAATTGTTCCATCTGGGAAGCCAGAATGCTTGCCCTAATGGAAGTATAGCCTTAAGGCAAGATTGAACTCCTCCCCGTATGTTTAAGTTCTGCTGATTTCAACAGATGAAATCAATCAGATCGAAAACTTTGGATGGATTTTGTCCTAGGGCTATAGCAGCCAATGCTATAGTTCCATTTCTAGCGCCTTATGTTTGCAGAAGACAATGTCTGGATCCATCCTACTGCTGGTCACTTCTTTACTTCCTCTTCTTCACAGTTATGCCCTGGGTATCTGATGGAGGTGAAAGACTCGCCCTAGAAATTTTTAAGATTAGCATTGGCATGATGATTTGCTAAACTGCCTCATGGCCGTTACTACAGTGGTTCTTTCTCTCTTACATAGCTGAAGCAGGTGCTCCTGGGATTTTGACATCTCAGGTAGTTGTCTAGTTTATTTCTATGGATGGATCTGGTCTTCCTGCTAAGCTACAGCTGAACACTACAATACAGTCTGCCAACTGAAATTAACAGGGTTTACCTGATTCTATCCAGCCTCTCTCTTTGTTCTTTACAGTCTCCACTCATTCTAACATATTTTAATCACACAGGTGTGCTAGTGGCAAATGCTTTCACAATACCTTTTTGCTATTCAATAGGGCTTGTTTTCCAGGTTAAGTTCATAGTTGAGGTCTAGTAAAAACTCTCACATCCTTTTTAACATTGATTCCAACCTGGAATGTTTGATAATTTGGTCCTCCTAAAACACTCTTCTTCTTCCTTTTTATTTCTCAGGACATCTGTGGCAACAAATAAATGCATGTTTTGAAATTACTTTGTTTTCCTAGTCTGTTGAATTGTAGTTTTCCTTTATGTCACCTGCAAAATGCAAAACGAGATCTCAGCATTACAGGCCTATTTTTTAAAAAAATCTTCTAGAATTCTTCCTCCGTAGGGAGCATTGTTTATGTCAAAGGTACTCATCACAAGCAAAGGTTTAATTCTGAGATCAGAGGCTGCATTTTCATTAAACTTTCTCCAAACTGGAAGGAGCAAGAGTTGTCTTGTTCTGGCTTTAGTACAGATTAAAGCCCTCCTGCCACTTGCCTGGGGCTTGTCCGTTGATGGAATCTTTAAAGAATAAAGCAGCCAAACCCAAACAAAGTGGCCTTGAAAACAGGCAAATTGATTTTCTTCTGCAGATCAGAAATTTCAAGAGGTTTTCAAGGATCTGCTAAAAGCCACTTCTATGGCGCTGACCTGGCTTTGGTGTCCCATGTTTTCTCTTCCCCTTATAAAATACTGCTTGGGGAGCAAGAAGAAAAATAGCCCGAATATTTAGCATTGACACAGGATTGTAGACCTTTTGAACCATTTGCTTGAATATCTATGAGCTAAAAGCAGAGCATGGGTAGGGGAATGAACTAATGCTCTACCCCCCAACATCTCTGACTCCACTTCAGACTAGGGATGATGAAATCTGACAGTGTTGGTTTCTCGTTTCTTACTTTTTTTTTTTACACTTAAGTACAGTTTTCCAGATTTCTGCTAGTTTCTGAATTTTTCAAGAAATAAGTCCTCATGAAAAAAACCACCAGTGGAAATTTCTCCAAATATACAACTTTCTTCCCCAAAAGCAATTTCCCTTCACACAATGTATTTTTGCATGCTATCTTCACCTATACATAAGTGTTCATGCACACTTTACCCTCATATATACATGTTTGCACATTGTACATGGCTGAAGAACTGCATTGAAAAATATGGAGATATACAAGTTTCAAAGGGTGGTTCACACATTATTTTGGAAAGTGAAAATTAGGAAGGTCCACCTGTAAATGCAAACTGAATCCAATTTCTCTCACATCCCTACTTTGAGCCTTCATGTGTTGAGAAGAAAAGCCTAAACAGGGATTCTAAGTGTATTTGAGTGAATGTGCTCAGAATTCTTCCCCCACCCTGGAACCCCGATAAGGCAGAGTTCCCCTTCATGGGGTGGAGGATTCTAAGCATGCTCAGCTGATTGGAACTTGTATGTGACCGTAGTGACCCAGGCCATTTTTCCTGAACTGTTCTCCAGCACAAATTATACCGAGGAAACATCATGCGTGGGCATTTTGGCATAATGCACATATAACAGGAGTAGCAAATGTAGCCTGAAAGCATTAGTTCATTAATCAGCCTGCTTAATTCATTAGCTATAGGTTAAAAGCTGTAGGTTTTTAATCAACAGATTTTAATTGGAACTGTTCCTCCTCACACTGTGTTTTTAAGGGTGTTTGGAATCCTTGTTATAATTTTGTAAGCAGTTGTGAGTCATTCCCCGATTAAGCAGTGTCAGGGGTGGGATAATTTATTGCCGCACTCTAGGAATTGTTGCTCCTTTAAAACCAAGCTGCCAAGGTAAATAGGAAGTTGCCTTATGCTGAATGAGACCATTGGTCTATCGAGCGCAATATTGTCTCTGTGCCATGGGTTTGGAAATCAGGACTGGGGCCCAAATGCAACCCTCTCAGGGTATACCTGAAGGAGCGTCTCCACCCCCATCACCCAGCCTGGACACTGAGATCCACCTCTGAGGGCCTTCTGGCGGTTCCCTCACTATGAGAAGTGAGGTTACAGGGAATCAGGCAGAGGGGCTTCTCAGTATTGGCACCCAACATGTGGAGTGCCCTCCCATCGGATGTCAATGAGATAAGTAACTATACAACCTTTAGAAGACTTCTGAAGGCAGCCCTGGATAGGGAAGCTTTGTAATGTTTGATGCTTTATTATGTTTCTGTATATGCTGGAAGCCACCCAGAGTGGTTGGAATGACCCAGTCAGAAAATAACAAATAACAAATAAATGAACAATAAAACAACAACAACAATCTGACTGGACCTTGGAACAGAACCCAGCCCATAGCCCTCCCTGGTCCTGCTTTGCACCTTTCTCAAGTTGAATTGGATAGCTCAGTTGGTTAGAGCGTGGTGCTGATAACACCAAGGTTGCAAGTTCGATTCTCATATGGGATGCAGAGGGTTGGACTAGATGATCCGCGGTGTCCCTTCCAACTCTACAATTCTATGATTCTAAGTCCCTTTGCCTGGCTGCAATGTGTCCCTGAACTCTGCTCCTGCTTCTTGCTTGCCTAGGTGGAGGATAGAGCCAGGTGTTTTGAGTTTGTTGTTGCTCTCTCCATTTCCCCATCTTGCCCAGTTTCCCAGTGGCTTCAGGAAGGTTGCGCAGAAAGGCATGAGACCCTCAGTCTGAAAATGCTTCCCCATCCCTGGCCTACACTAATGGCAATGGTTCCTCAGAATTTCAGACAAAGGCCTACCAGGAGAGACCTGCAGGGATTGGACCTGGAACCTTCTGCATGCAAAGCAGGTGCTCTCCCACTGAGCTAAGGCCCTTCCCTTCAGGTACCAGTGGCATATAGCATGAAAGAGCTCTTAAATGTGAGAAAATCAGAGCTCCTGTTGTCTCCTCATATCTGCTGAGGGCTAACTAGATGCAGTTTCTCTTTCTGTCACAGTATCAGGCTGATACTATTGAGTAATCAGTAGCTCAGCCCAGACAGTCCCTCCACCTGGAGGTTGTCTCAGTAGCACAGACACTAAGGTGTCTCACTGCTTGGCTTTATTCCCTGGTTCAAGCCCAGTGGGGCTACCAGATGTGGGAAAATTCATCACATGATGGACAGGATTAATGGTGAATCACACTAAATTACTCAGAAGCATGAAGCTGGACATGAGGAGCAGCATCTAGAGGGGCTATATAACAGTGTTCATATTTTCATATTTTCATATTTTTCAAAGTGACAATTCCCTGAACAAAGGCTGCCCTCACTTCAGAAATCATGTTTTGGTTTTATGCAGTCCTCTCCCCCCCCTTCTCTTAATCCTACAGACTGATCAGGAAAGTAAGGGGAGGCAGGTTTTTTTTGCTGGGTTTTGAGACCCAAAAGAAGGTTTGTTGTTTAGTCGTGTCCGACTGTTCGTGACCCCATGGACCAGAGCACGCCAGGCACTCCTGTCTTCCACTGCCTCCCGCAGTTTAGTCAAACACATGTTGGTAGCTTCGAGAACACTGTCCAACCATCTCATCCTCTGTCGTCCCCTTCTCCTTGTGCCCTCCATCTTTCCCAACATCAGGGTCTTTTCCAGGGAGTCTTCTCTTCTCATGAGGTGGCCAAAGTATTGGAGCCTCAGCTTCAGGATCTGTCCTTCCAGTGAGCACTCAGGGCTGATAGAAGAGGGAGGGCAGGAGCCTTATAGCCTGCTCACACTTTAGAAAAGGGCTATATTCTCAGCAACATCAGGGGTAGGCAACTCATGGGCAACTTCTTATCTCTCTTCCCTGCCTGCCCCATGGGCCAACTTTGACAGGTGTCAATCACCTGCCGTTACAGTGATGCCAGATAACCTGCTTTCCTCCTATCCCCATGATTCAAAATCAAAATGCATGGACAAAGTCTGGTGATCAGCTGAGATTCAAGACAAAAAACCACTGGCTTATTGCACTAAAATGAACCAAGGCTGCAATTCAATACATGCTTACCTGGAATTAAGTCCCACTCAGCGTAGTGAGACTTCCTCCTGAATAATCATGATTTATAAGATTTCACTGACTGCCAATGAATGGTTGAAACCTAAATACAATCCCTTTGGCCAGGTCAGAATTTCTAAATACTGGTGGTGTGGCAGGAAGTCAAAGAGATTTGCTGTCAGAAGATAAAAATCTGACCTGAAGAGCACACCACAAATTGAGGCAAATGCAGGAACTAACCATCTCAAGTGTGTGAGTAGTGACTTCTTGTCATTTTTATCTGATGCTCACCAAATTGCTCTTAGAAGACAGGCAGTCCCTCTTCAAAAGAGTTGAAAGCAACCACACTGGTTTTTTGAGACACCTCCTTATCGAACCCTTTATCACACTCTTCCGCGGAGGTATTCTGCATAGTGGTCAGGGGGTTTTCCAAGTTGTGGTGCCTGATTCTCAAAGACTCTGCTTTTGACTCCCTCAGGCCAGCATGTCTTCACAAATCATTACCCTACTTTGGCTGCTAAGTGTGACAAGAGGGACTAAATCAGCAATCATGAGATGACTCATTCTCTCTTTATTGCCTCACTAAATATAGGACTGGTGGTTTTGTTTACTCTGGTTTCTTCTAAGAATTTCCCCTCCTTTCTCTTAATCCTGCAGGCTGGTTTTCTGGTACAGCAGGAAATTGAGAGGAGGCAGAATACAGGCTTGTTGTGTGTGTGTGTCTGTGTTGAAGACTAAAGTGTGGAGGGGTGAGCGCAGGAGCACGGAAAGGGCGTGAGAGACAGAGACAAGCAAGAGGTGAACAACCCTGATCAGATAATGAGTAACAAGAAAATTGAGTTGGCAGATAGACGCAAAGGTAGCTGTTATCAACAGGTGGCTGTTGAGCAAAGCATTACTGCTCTAGACGGAGCAACAACACAAGATACATATGAGGTAGCACTAAAATATGTGAAACTAAGAAAGCATTTTCTCATGCGTTTGGCATGAGGGACAAAGCACTTTTCAGCAGCTATAGCAAATATGAGCCAAGGGGCATACCCAAAGTCCAAATCAACATTCATGACCCCATAAAACACCACCAGCAGCTTATTTTTTAACAGTATTTGTCCCCTGAACATGCCGGGAGACACTGTCCATTTCCTCACAGAAGCTCTTGCTGGGGATCCACTTTCCTACAAATGATCTGAGAAATGTGGACTTGGGCTCCTCCTTGGGGCCTGGCACTCTCCCTCGTGCAACAACTAACACTTGATTGATTTGATTTCCAGCATTTCTGCGCTGCTTTGAATCCCAAAGCGGCTTACAAACAATAGCAATAACCTAACAGAGCATCAAAAGTGCAGAATAAATCATATGATACAGTGAGCAAATCATCAGTAAAACCTTTGCAATCTACAAAACGCTATTGACAAACCAGCAACTAAAAGAATATGCTGAACATCACAATTACAAAATAAGTCATATTATATGAGTAATAATAATAATAATTTACTTATTTATACTCCACCCATCTGGCTGGGTTTCTCCAGCCACACTGGGCGGCTTCCAACAAAATATTAAAATACAATAATTAATCAGTATTTGTCAGTGAGGGAGCCACCAGAAGGCCTTCGGTGCTGGGCCTCAGTGTCTGGGTAGAACGATGGGGGTGGAGACGCTCCTTCAGATATAAGGCATTTATAATCTATAAAATAATATTAACAAAATAGCAACTAAAAAAATAAGCTTAGCATACTCTCCTTCCTCCAGTGACTCAATCTTTCACTCTCTTCAGTTCATTAAAGTACACATACACATCCATCATACAGGAGGACCCCGATCAAAGAGAAATACCAATATGGAGATGCTATGTGTTCTCCTCTCATATGCCTATACAATGGTACCTCGGGTTAAGTACTTAATTCATTCCAGAGGTCCATTCTTAACCTGAAACTGTTCTTAACCTGAAGTACCACTTTAGCTAATGGGGCCTCCCGCTGCCGCCGCGCTGCCGGAGCACGATTTCTGTTCTCATCCTGAAGCAAAGTTCTTAACCCAAGGTACTATTTCTGGGTTAGCGGAGTCTGTAACCTGAAGCGTATGTAACCTGAAGCGTATGTAACCTGAAGCGTATGTAACCCAGGGTACCACTGTAAATCCATCTTGAATAGCAGCGAAAGGGAAACTCCCTCCTGCAGCTGATGCTGGGAGAATGGCAGAATATCCAGTGCTGACACAGAAAGTCTTTGGGTCTTCCCCTTTCATACGTGGAGGAAAACATTCTGCTGGAACACAGGTTATCACAATGGAGATTGCACACCCATGGAAAACAAAGCGGGAATGCCCCTAGAGGAACTGCAAATTTGGTGGCATTTTGTTTTCCTCTGCCCGCCTTAAGCATTGCTAACTGCTTCCTCTGTGTCGTTCCCTGTCTTGGCCTGCCCCTTTACTATTCTTGGCAACTGACGACATCAAGAGCATTTGAAGGGATTCATGTTGATGTCTCTGTGAAACACTGACCCTCTTGTCCTCTGCCCTTCTCTCGAATTCCTGGCAAAGTTTGACAGAACAAAAGTCTACGTTGTTTCCTCTCACCCCCTCTCACCCCCTGAAATGCACAACTTTTCTGGGGATATAAATAATCTTCTGACTAGTTTTGCCAAGCAAAATCCAGAGCCTTATCACAACCATGTCCAGAAATGGCTGGAGAAAAGTTGGAGAAATGGAATGTTGTGGTTTTTTTTTAAAAAAGGTAAACATTAATATTCAATGAAAGCTAACTATATATATATATATATATATATATATATATATATATATTGCTTATATATATATTGCTTCTCATGCCTTTCAGAAGAGCCTAAAGGACAGTTGAGGTATTGTCCAGGCTTGGACCTGATATGTTTTAGCATACTTGCTGCACCATGGGCCTTCTAACAAGTCCCAGGGCAGAGCTACACTCATGGTTTTTAATGCTAAAAAAGAGTTAAGGAATGGTTCCGATAACCATATAGCCATAGGACATTCTTTTTTGACGTTAATAATGCATTATTAAAATGTGACACCAGAGGGCGCCGCAGAGCAACCCCTTCCAAAGACCAGGCAGACCTTGTGGAATAGGACTATTTTTGTCTTGACGTTTTAGAACACTCTTTTTTAATATCGTTCTAATAACGTTTAAAATGTGAGTGTAGATCCAGCCCCAGAGGTCTCTCTCATTATATGAACCAATGGGCTGCAACTCTTGAAACTGTTCCCCACAAGTATCTTTTAGTTTGTTTTTAAAATGCTAGTTTTATTTTGAAATAATAGGACACCATTTGTGGTGGACAGGTTGTGGTGACGTGATGGGCCATACATTTAGGCTTGACATATGCAGAAGTGGGTTGCTGGGTGGTGTGGAGCCACTATGCTAGTTTCCTGGCAGCAGGGTCATTGTTACTTACCAAGAGGAGGAGCAGCGAGGCAGGAGGGGGGTTGGCGCAGTGGACACACATCAGCAGAACTTCTGGATTGGTTCCACTGGTGTGTTTGCACTGTGCCAACCTCTCTGCCACTTCCAGGGGTGAACGAAGACTAACTGACACCCGGGACAGGGTAAACCGCCGGCTGCGCATGCGTGCATCGCTACGTAGGGCGCATTTGCGCTGTTACTACGTACAGCGCATGCGTGTGACACCACGCATGCGTTGTATGTAGCGGTTTGCCACTGGCGCTGCCCGAGTGCTGTACGGACGGTGGCAGGATCCTCTCCTCGCGGCCGCAGCCACAAACAGAGGATCCTCCACATGCGGCTGCAGTGGCGCGATGGCTGCTCGCGCCGCTGTGCCCAGGGGCAAGCACCCTGCGGGGTGCCTTCTTGTCACCCTTCCAGACATAGCAC